GTTTGAGGAGCACTGACTGTTTAGGAACCAGGTCAAAGCGCATGCGATTGAGGAGCTCATCTTCTTCCAGCATGACTGCAGCTAAAGGATACATCTGCTCCATGTCAAAGTGGAACTGAACACCAGCGGGAGGGTCGCGGAGGAAGTTCCTCTTGTCCTAGAATCAGCAACCAAAACAGCTCAGTTTCTACTCAAAGCATAATTTATAAATTTAAATAAGTAAAACAGTAGCCACAAAAATAGCTACCCATTCATACATTCGTACTATATATTGTGCATGATGCCTTTGCTTACAGCGGACAGAGCGAGAATCTGTTGCTGGATTGTCTCCTCTTCATTGTAGCCGACCCAGGGTGGCACTGCTGCTTCTACACAAACATCAGAGCATGTGTGCACACACACATTCAGTCATGTACCGTCAGTCATCAGTTCCAATCCTTATCTCTGAGATGCACACATGTACAAACCTGGCTCTCTGTAAATAGAAGCTGCTTGGCCAGTAAGTGACGTATGCTGATAAAATCGTGATAACATCATTTCTGCTGCCCCTCACAGGCGCAATGTAAAAATAAAGATTACACAGTTTATCCCAGTCAGGTCTCACAAGACTCCAATTTTAAACAAAGTGTGTCAATTTCAAAGTGTGAGTCTTATTTTCAGAAATTAATATTTGAACTTTTGATTGATATGTTTATTTTCATAGTGGTTCAATAATTGACTTTGGAAAACATTATGACTACACTTCATTCACCTTGTAGCACCAGTTTAATTCTTCATTGCTCAGATTCAATAAAATTCTGGAAATATCATGCAGCGATTTTGATCCATATTGACATGATAGCACCACACAGCTGCTGCAGATTTGTCACTGTAATCCCAAAGGTGTGTAATCAGCGTATGTGGTGACTGTACGAATCATTTGAGGTCATCAGTAAATAACATTCATGCTTTAAAGTCTGGTTTACCTGATTTCTTGGCCTTCTTCTCCTGGACAAATTTCTCTTGCTCTTTTTGGAAGTCCCCTAAAAATGTCTACACACACACACACACACACACACACACACACACACACACACAAATAAATAGATTGGAAAAGCTGATGAATAAATGGAAAGTGTTAACAAAGCAGGAAGTCCTGAAAAAGTTATGATAAAATCCAGGATTTTACTTGCATATGAAAAAATCTGGAAACTTTGATACAAATTTTAAACTTTAACACTTTTAGACTTAAAAATACTTTGAAATTTTTTTTAAGTAATGTTTAATCTATGGAAGCTTTATTTGCCCCAGATATTTTTTATTGATCAAACTGCCAAAAATAAGAAGAGGGTGTGTAGACTATATACAGCACAGTGCGCTTATGTGTATAATCAAACCTTTAAGTCCAGAGGCCAATGCTACTTAATAATAATACAATACTGCTTATCCAGGTAAGCTCAGGCTTAACCCCTGGGTTTTCTGTACTTTGAAGGTGGTTCACTTCTTACTCGGGGTAAATCGCTATCTGGAGCAAGTTAAGATCCAGAATAGAGATCAGCAGATATGAACTCACTGCCTACTGATTAATCAATTCTCCAGAAAATAGCATCACTATTCCTGGAAGATCCCTCAAACTTCTGTGCATAAACAGGAGTCTAAAGTTTTCTTCTATAGCATCTACTGTCTTTGTTTTCCTAATAAGAATCAGAAATAAATATTATAGATTTCTAGACACAACTTTATTCTTTTGGTTTTAATAAACAAACTATAAGTATTAATATCTGATCCTAAAATAGGACACCGACAGTGTACTTGCTGAACTCATATGAAACTTATGTAGACTAAGCCAATATTTGAATAAAAAAACAAACAAACCTTTACTCTCAAACCTTTAAAGTTTGCAGCTGAGAATATCAAAAATAAAACTGCTGGGAGAAGGTTATGCTCATCTTCTTATTAGACTGCCAGACAGTAATCTTAGGTTTCAGAGTTCTAGGAGAAACCCTGGGTTAAATTAGCGAACTGATAGCCAGCTTTGTGTGCCAGTTCGGGGAAAGCAAATACAGAAAACTGACCTACAAACCCACAAATGCACAGATGAACCCCACGCCGTTTTTAAAATCTGAAAAACCAGTCAAAAAGAATCTGAGAGCAACATGCCTTGTCTATGATGCCATCAATTTTTCCTTCTTCCACTGTCTTCTTGATGGTCTGGGCAGTCTCCACCATTGAATCAGAGATTTTCTTGGTGGCACTGGAAGCAAAACTGAAGATGTAACCTTCAAATGGAGAAAGAGTCTGTTAATAAAACCATTGCCACTGCAATAAAAGATACATATATGAGAGAACAGATTCTCCTGCAGTCATATTTGCTCTTGCTGGGAGTGAAGAACATACAAAAAAGATGAACAGGAAAGCCTTCAGGGTTCAACACAGAGAGAAAGACTAACGTCACGCTGAGTAACTTTGAGCACGTAGCTTAGAGTTAATTAAGAGTTAATCATCCAGATATGAGCTGTTCCTCACCGCCGAGTCCTGTGGACTGTTCCGAGTTTTCCTGCTCCGCCTCTGGTGTTCGATCCTGGTCAGCTGGCTGCTGTTTGTTTACCTCGGTTTGTGCTTCTACCACCTTCTCTTCCTGCCCCACGTTCAGCTTTTCCTTGTCAACCGACATCTCCGTAACGGTCGGGCCCTCCAGACCCAACCACGTCCCTAAACCTTTTAACATGCTGGTGGAAAAACACCGATCGATTAAATTAAAGATACGGAAAAACAATCTGCACGGACTCTCCTGACTATACAACCAGGAAATAAACTGACGTTTTCTTCTTCTGCGTTCTCGTGTGTGCACTTGTGCGATACTGCCACCCGGAGGCCAAATATGGGAAGTCTGGTTTGATGGGTTGTTGTTAGTGCTATGGTGGAATATATGAATAAAAAAAAGAATATTTATCAGTAAAAACTATCACAAAAGTGTTGCACGTTGAAAGATCTACACCTTTCCTAAAGTAGAAAGATGGTATGTCTTATAAAGTACGTGCTCATTGTTGGCAGTAGAGGAACTACTACGTTTTAACGCAACATCCAAAAGAAGCTGCAGGTGGCGGTAAAGAGCTGAGATTTGTTCCACTTTTTGCGGCAAAGCAAGATAAGGAGAAGGAAGATAAGGAAGATCGGTGAATTCCTGACGGAGGACTCGTACCGGTAATTTTGCAGTTGCTCAAAATTTTACATTATTATTATGTGTTTTATGTGTATTTATCTTGGGTATAGTTTACTACAGTTTATTACAGAAAGCTATGTAATCCCAGTCACGTGTCTTCAGCACGTTAGGAACCGCTGTGACTGACTGACTAGCTCTACCCGTGGGCTGTTTACTTGTAAGGGGACGAGTTTACACCACACTTCCTTTAAAAAATAAGGCATTTAAAAGTTCGTTAGTTTTAACGTACTTTTGATGGAGAAAGGAATAATAAATATTGTTAAATAAATGTTATTTGACATGTCAAGTAAGGATCGGCTCTAATGGGAAGGGTAATTTTTAAGAAGCGGAAGTGTGGGCTCAGTTACTCGTGTTTTGAGCTGATAAGACGTAAATAGACCGGTTGAGAGCAGTATCCGTTACCAAACGAAATAATAGAAGGGTGGAGCTTAAAAATAACTATTATCTTGCTTAATTTATTAGTTAGTTTTGTGTGCTATTTTGCTTTTGAGGTGCCAAATGAAGATTCTGATGGTGTTTGATTTTGACCACACCGTGGTCGATGCCAACAGTGACACTTGGGTGGTCAGGTAGGTCAAGAAAGTTTTACTTCAGCTCTTTCCAGGTTTCTTTGTATTTATCTGTATGTATTATCTTGACAAAGATTTTCTGTTCCACTGCTCCCGCGACTACTCTGTAATTACTGTTTTATACTAGGACCTTAATACACCATTAGAGAAACACTATAGCTGAGTTATCCTGATTTCTCTTATTTATATATTCCTTGTGTCAGGTGCCTTCCTGATAAGACACTTCCTGGCTCTGTGGAGAATTCGTACAGAAAAGGCTACTGGACTGAGTACATGGGCAGGGTGCTGAACTACATAGGTGAGTCTGTCATGCTGTTTGTTTTTGTTTTACTACTTCCTGAAATCTGCCTTCAACATTTTCTAATCTATGCCCGCAGGTGAGCAGAAGGTGAGCCCAGACAGGGTTCGCAGTGTGATGGAGACCATCCCCTTCACAGCTGGAATGACTGAGTTGCTGACATTTATAGCAGAGAATAAAAGTGCCATTGACTGCATAGTCATCTCTGATTCCAACACCTTGTTTATAGAATGGATTCTCCATGCTGCAGGACTCCAGGCGGCTGTTGACAAGGTTTTTACCAACCCAGCTAAGCTCAATGAGTTGGGCCACATTGAGGTGCAGTGCTATCATTCTCATGCCTGTGATCAATGCCCTGTCAACCTCTGCAAGAAAAAAGTCCTGGAGCTTTACCTTTCTGAGCAATCTGATGCCGGCGTGGAGTATGAGCAAATCTTTTATGCGGGGGATGGGGGGAATGATCTCTGCCCTACTTCCTGTCTGAGAGGCCGTGATGTTGTGATGCCTAGAAAGGGATACACTCTGGAGAAGCTGCTAGCCAAACTGGAAGGTCAGGAGGGCAACTTTTCTGTAAGAGCTAAAAACATTGCCTGGAGCAGTGGCACTGACATTCTCCGGGAGCTGAAAGCAAGCATGCAGTCAGAGCCGTGGCACATGAAATATTACAAATATTGAGCCTGCACTGCAGGATCCATTGTGCTGCCTGTATTCTTTTTTTTTCATATTATAATTCAAAATTTTAGAAGATTTTATGAAATTTTTAACTTATTTAAAACGACAGCATTTGCACATGTAAACCAGTCTTTTAAAAAGGGTAATTTGTCTGCAGGGAAATTTACCTTTATCTTTTATCATCATGCTCTTTACAATTTTTCTAATTTTCCGTGGTGATCGAAAATAGAGGCGCCTGAAACCACTAACAATACATAGGCAGTGTGTCACAACGGCAGCTTTTACATGTGCAGTGTATGTTAAATACTACATAAGAATTCAGTTAAGATTATATTTAGTATAGTATTCAAGATCTGTTGTTGGGGCTGATCCAAGAAGCAGAGATGAACCAGCAAGTTAACTTGATCTGATAACGTAGAAGTCAGGGAAATTTCTGAGCAGATTTGAGACATGGATTAATTTTAGTCCCAGAGTACAAGAAAAATTAAAAGATGTCTCCATTGAAATGTTTCTGGACTAGGGTTTCTAGAAAGGTTCATGTTAAAGGCATTTTGTTAACCTGAAAACCTTAAATCAGTGTACTTCATGCAGTCTGCACTATATCTAGCCACAGTACTGTGCAAAAATATTGAGCCACCCCTTATTTCTTTACATTTTGGTGGAAAGATAGAAAATTGGTACAGCAGTTTATTGAAACATGTGGAAACATGCATGGAAATTAAGTATATATATAACAAAAACAGTATTTTTCTACAGTTATAAACATAAAAAGTCAATATTTGATACGACCTTTACTTTTCAAAATTTTAAAGTTATTAATTGTTTTTATTTTTTATTTTCCCCAAACCATGAAAGAGCCTCCTGTTTTACACACTGACTGATGTGGATTTCTTCTAAAACACTTTGGAAATCAGCTCACTGGTACTATAATGCAAATTCATGCCTGTCAAACTGTGTCATCTTTGGTGTTTTTTACTACAGAAGTGGGGACATCATTGTGTTTTTGTGACAGGCTGCTAATAAACATGTGCTAATAATAGGCCAAAAGATAAAAATTTTAATTCGCTCTTTGTTTTGTGGGTCTCAACACACACTTGCTCAATTTCCCAACCTTGAATTAAGCCTGGTGATTAAACTCTTTACTCAGTGAAGACTTTCACTGATTTTCTTTTCTTTCTTTTTAAAATTTTATTCATTTTGTGAGCACCAGACTCGGTCTGTGTTTGGGAAACTGGCTGACTGGATATATGTTAATGTTTCCAAACCAATGAACAAACAATGGGTTCTGGATATTGCATTTAATTAAATTTGCTTTATAGTTTACAAATGTTAGTTGTCTCTTCACATTATGACCGAAAGCTTCTAAAGCACTCCTACTAACTTGAGTAATTTTTCTTTATGAATCTGAGAAAAACACTATACCAGTTCTTCCCTGCTATATTCTGTGTAAGACATTTTGATTTCTGAAAAGAAAAGCACTGATGTTACTGATGGCATTATGATGTGTTATATTTAAATGCTCCAGACAGTGTTACAGCATGCACCATACCAGGAACTTGAAACTGCCAAATGGCATGAAGTTGTCTGTCTTAGTGTAAACTGACTAAAAATATGTCTGTAAAAGGCACATTATAATGTAACTAATACATACTTTAAATAAGGTGCTTTTGTCAACATTTTGAATGTAACATTTTTACATGAACTTACCTCAGCTGATATCTGGTTAAGAAAGATTGAATACGTTTCAGCAGTTTTTCTACAGTTATTATTATAACTGGTCCTAAATGATTGTACTTGTTTAATGTTATTTAGCATTTAATAGAGCTGTGCTGCTCTATAGTTCTGAATCTTTCTGTTCTCCAGTATTGTCAGCTGTGTTTTACAGATCAGGTCTGTTTGATTTTTGAAAGCACGTTTGGATTAATGTGAGTAGTACATTAAATATAATATGAGTGCATAAACCACCACTACCCTATAAGCTACATGAACAATATTCCATGTTTGTTTTTACCACGTTAACTCTGAAGTATCAAACAGCCTCATTTAGGATTTTGCTCAGGTTTGTTGTGGCCAGTATGTATTATCTGAATAGACTATTCAGTTTTTATGTACAATTTCAACAGCCGTGCTCATGGAGACATATATATGTATATATGCATTGATTGACTTTCTGTTGCCACTGTCACAAGCCAGTTTGATAAAATAATATTGTGTGTTGTTAATGTGTAATTCTAATGATTAAATCAAATTAATTACCTCTTTGATTATTTTTTCTCAGGTTTTACTCAAATCCTTCTAGAGGCAAGTCTTACATCTCACCAGCAGTGATAAAATATTGGGGCCATATCTTTAAAGTATTATCTCCAATATATTTCCAAATGAATGTAGTGCAAATATTTTCCACTGCAATAATTAAGATGGTTTTGTAACACTGTGATGGTGAGGTGAGATTTCATTATATTGTGAGGTATTGCTTTAAATCGTGTTTCACAATGAGCAATTATACTAAAAATACTAAATGTAGTCCAATAGATTTTTGAGGGGTACTGACTATACAGACTCATAAATGGATGAAAACAAGCTTCTCGTTAGAAATATTAAATGAGAATTGAGAATGAGACAATTATGAGACTAATTAAGATTAATTGTTGTCCTAAAATCTAAAGTAATTTTACGACTCAGTGACAAATATAAAAGCTAGCTTCTAGACTCTCTAGATGAAAGGATAAAATGAATTGAATTTAACGACACATATACATATATACATACATATATACACACATATGTATGTATACGTATATACACGTATACACACACACACACACACACACACACACGTGTGTGTATATACACACGTGGATACACACACTACTGATGATGTGTCCCAAATCTTAATATGATAATCAAAATCAGATCTCTACCCCCCCCCCCCGCCCCCCCAAAAAATGGCAGATTAGCTTTGGTAAAAGACGGAAAGTTGAGGCACACAATGATGTGTGTTGCTGGTAAAGTAAAGTTTCTGGGCTGCCCTTCCTCATAACAGCCATCTCTCAAGATTCTCGCCTTTTAAAGCAATGCATTATCAAGGACTACAACATTTGGTTCTTTTTCTTGCCCAACACTAGCCCAAAATATTTAATCCTCTGGGGTCCAGGGTATAATTGACCATTTTTCACTATTTTTGAGGTTTCCTCTACATTTCACCTTTAAAAACTATTTACTTTGCCTTGTTTGTGTAACCGAGGACAAGGGATGAGTAAACGGGGCAAAGAAATAAATTGATAATTTATTTATTACATTAATTAGACATACAAATTCCCAGTTATTTCCAGACAGGACTTACAAAACATCCGGCTGATGCACATGAGACTTACCACACAAATGGTGCGAAAAAATAACACAACACTGCAAACCGTTACACCCCGTTTAGCGACACTGCAATCGATTTACCTGTGGCACGCACTGCATTCAATAAGATGCCACACACACTCCAAACATGCTAAACGTCACAAGTCTCACAATCTCAAAAAATCTCACGAAACTCACTCTCTATTGCTGTCTTCCTTTCTCTCTCTCTGGACTTCACTCCTAAAACTTCTCCGTGTTCCTAAGCAACCAAATGTCATGTTGCCATATTATTTTTGATTGGTCGACATGGTGCATTTTTCCACCAACACGAACGGGCTGTTTTTTGTTTTGTTTTGTTTTTTGCTTATAAGCAGAGAGTGCTTACTAGCGCTGTCCTTAGACAGTAAACGTGACAAAACTATTGAGAAAAAACGCCACGTATATATTGTTTATCATGACTATCAACATAATTTAAAAACTGGTATATATCACCTTGTTGCTTTGTCATCTTGAGGTGGTCATGTGATTGGCTTATCATGACTACTTTATTCTTCCTCTGTCAAAAAGCAGCACTCATGTGATTGTTTTGCCCCCTAGCTTTTGTGGTGCCCAAATTTATGCACCTACTTGATTTTGTTTAAACAATTATTGCACACTTTCTGTAAATCCAGTAAACTTCTTTTCACTTCTCAGATATCACTGTGTGTGTCTCCTGTATGACATATTTAACTGACATTTTTTTATTGTAACAACCAACGATTTATACGGGAAAATAATGGCTATTAACAAGGTTGCCCAAACCTTTGCATCCCACTGTGTTAGTATATTTTGTCGTTAGTATAATATGAAATAAATTCTACATGTGTCAAGTCGTGTGCCAACATTTGCTGTGTAGTAGAACTGAGACATTAGTCATTATAAAAATTTATTTGAAATAATATTAAAATTTACAAACAGAAAAACATTAAACATAAATATATAAAATATAAGAATTTACAGAGAGACAGGAATAAAAAGGACCCAGCTGCTCTCCAGAGCAGGAACAAGACTGAGGAGGAAATGCTCCGTTGAAGACTGGCGTGGCATCTTCAGGGACACCAGGATGGCCAGCTCCACTGCCGATGGACCGTCCTGGGACCTGTCCCTCATCTGCCTCGGAGCTGTCCTCCTCTGTGGGCCTGTAAAACAGCACAAAACACAAAGAAATGAGAAGGCTGCTACTACACTGTTCCAAAAAATAGTAATGTCAAAGTATCTTACTGTATATCTTACAGTTTTGTACTGTCTTTCTAGAATATCATTAAATTTACATAAGTAGACTGTGATTTTACATGTCAAAGGTAAAATAACATAACATCACTGTAAATATAGTAAAACACAATTTACTTGTTTTTTAAATATATTTATTTTGTACATATGCATATTTAGATTGTAAAAATACATTCAGAAATGTATCATAATTTCACAAATATTTGTCTGTTATGTGAGAGAATGATCTGTTAAATTCAAATGTAATACTATGGAAAATATATAAAATGATCGAAAATGAATGAAAATAATCAATACTTAAAGGAGTATTTCAATTATAATTTTGCTGAAAATTTCATGTCATCTTGGTCTGATTCAATGATTCAGAGATAACAAGTGAAAATATAATTAATAGGAATAAAAACTGAAAAAAACATATAAAACATTGCACGCTGTGCTAATTATATATTTTTAAAAATAAATGTAGAGGTAGGAATTGCAATTAATAAAAATCTCAAAGTATTCACAACATTCCTGAACAGAAATAGGCCTCTGCACCTGGGGTGAGGGTGTGGCCAATGACATGCCATTGGATGTTGGGACACATAATAACAGCCAATAACAGCATCAGCCAATGAATGTGAACTAACAACCACAAGGTCGTGGGTATGGCTGTACTGTAGGAAAAAATCCTAATATAAAAGTATTTTACTGTGCATTGTACAGTTTTATTCTGTTCTTCTAGAATATCTTTAAAGTTACATAGATACACTGTGATTTCACATTTCAAATGTAAATTAATGTTAAATCACTGTAATGTAATAAAACATAATTTTCATGATTATTAACTGTATCTGTCTGTACATATGCATATTTAGATTGTTAAAATACATTCACAAATGTATCATGATTTCACAAATATCTGTCCGTTATTTGAAAGATTGAACTGTTGAATTCAAATGTAATGCTATGGATTTGATTTGATTTGATATACCTTTATTAGTCCCACAAGGGGAAATTTCATAAGGCTGCCGACCTATTGCACGCAATGGCGGCGCCATCTTACCCTCCGACCACACATACATTACACAAAACATCACATGGGGAAGACAGGTCAGAGAGGTATAACAATGGAA